CGTTCATCCGTCGGTTAACACCACATACACGGTGCCAAATCCCAGAAGACTGCTTTCTTCAAAGTCCATTAAAGTCAACCAGCCCTGAAGATGGATGTGATATGTTCCTCTAAAACGTTAGTTTACTTTCAATGGACTACACAGCATTAGATCCCAGAAGAGAACTCTTGAAATCAGATGTTCATCAAGCTGCTATATACATCTGTTCATCAGATAAGTAATAAATGTTTTGTGGCACAGACAAAAGATTACGACCCTTTCTCATAAATAATGATATGATTACAGATTTTTCCAGTAACACAGTTTATGTAATATTACACAAAAAACTGGAAAGAACACATGAAAATTGTTTGTGACATGACCGCTCAAAATAAATGTCAGTCCAGAGGAAGATGATGATAAGAAAGGTTTCAAAGAAATGGAGAGATTCTGTTTTATAATACTGTAACAGACCAACTGGAAAACCTGGTTAGTTTTCTATATGTTCCATTTGGAGACATATAGTGTGATGGATGTACTGTAGGAGTGTTATGAATATGGAATGACTTCTATTGCTATGCAGCCTTTAAGGTATTTGAAGTTCATGTGACCATGAATTGCCAATCTGTAAATATCAGATAAAATTTGAGTAACCTACAGCGAGGTATGTGGTATCGGAAAGTTCCTGGACTATTACTGTTGTAACTGCCTTGGTCAAAGAAGATGAGAGGGGGGGCCAAGGTCACACTTCTGCAAGCCTATTGCATCAGTCTGCCATGTGACACCATGCCATGAACATGCATTGTTTTTATATGAGTGCTGTTTTGACTTTGTGTTTCATTTTGTCTGTGATGGATGGCAAAATCAAGCAACATGTCTGCGTCAAGTTTTGCATAAACCTGTGTAAATCCACTACTGAAAGCCTTGAAATGCTTCATGTGGCTTTTGGAGAACATTCTTTAAGCCAGACAGGGGTTTTTGAAGGGCATTCACATTTCAAGGCTGGTCAAGTGTCAGTTGAAGATGACAAACGTTCAGGGCGACCAAGCACCAGCAAAATGACAGAAAATGTTAGGTTGAGAACTCATCAACGAAGACTGTCGCTGAACAATCCATGAGCTCACATACACCACTTGGATCAGTTATGGAGTTTGCCAGATCTCAACAGAAAATTTAAACATGTATCACACTGCTCCAACATGAAAATGCGCCTGCCCACACATCCCTGAAAATCACAGATTTTGTGATTAACAACAACATGGCTATCGTTCCCTATCGTCCCTACTCACCATACTTAGCCCCCTGTGATTTCACTTAGTTTCCCAAATTGAAAATGACCTAAAAGGACAAGGTCCTGAAACAGTGTCTTCCAACGGGAATTTCAAGCAAGCAGTACTCGACAGCATTACAGAATGACTTCCACAGTGCTTTTGAAGCTAGGAAAAAATGATGGGATTGCTATATACATTCGCAAGGAAACTATTCTGAAGGAGATGGCAGCCAAAATTGAGTAAGTTAAGCCAGCATTCCTTTTTTGACCTAGTCCAGGAACTTCATACTTGGAGGATCAAGCTCAGAGTGTATGGAGATAGTGAAGCTATGGCACCATCCACTGACAGACCTATACGCTGACGACTAGATAAAACTGGTCAAGATTTTAAATTTTCACAGTATCAAGTATCAGGTTATGATCTTGGATGTGATGGCATGTATGGTACATGGATACCCACATTTTGGAGGAACCTGCTACCTCCATCTTCAGGATAGAATGAAAATGGGAGTAGCAGATTCCTCAGAAATCATACCCATCATCTACTAAACCACACAATATCACATCCCAGAAGACATAATCTTGATGACTGGTCTAGTGTGCAGTTCAGTTCATAGCTGGTCATTTAACATATCTCATTATCTGGGAGAAATGAAAAAGCGATGCCTTCTACTCAGGATATCTTGTCATCTCAGACATTAAAACTTCCTGCACATGTTAGCTCAAGCAGTGATGCTTCTAAATTGTATTCAGGAAGTACCCAGTTTGAGTCCCAGCTGGACACTGGCTGCCTGTTGAGATTCTTTGTGGTTTCCTCAGTCCCTCTAGACAAATCATAAAATAAGCTATGCAACTGATATAGCATCTTCAAATAGCCTTCAGTCTGATCATCCAGAATGCAATATAGACATATGTCATAAGTAAAATTGGAGCTACTTTCACAAATGAGTGACCTGCTATAAATTTCATGGGAGAATTCGTGACTAGAGACCACTCACATTATGTCTGTGAGGTTACAGTCTACTGGGTGCAAATTCTGTATTTACATGTAACTGAAATGCATTCTCAAGCTCTATAGCTCATTAGGCAATAATATCAAGATAAGAAAATGGTTATGTAACAAGTTCTTGTTTATTCAAGCTCTACAGCTCATTAGGCAATAATATCAAGACAAGAAAATGGTTATGTAACAAGTTCTTGCTTATTTGTACACTGAATTTGGCCAGTCAGTTTTCTAGTTATCACTTTCATATCAACTTGAGATACCAACGGCAGTAGAACTTTATTGGGGTGCAAGAAGAGGGATGATCGTAATAGATTTCATTTAATTTTGATGATAATATATGACTTTGTGAGGTGGATGTTTTTAAACTTGAAAAGTTCTCTCATACCACTGAGTGGACTGTATGGGCAGAATATATGCAGACGAACAACACAAGCACCAATTGTGAGTAAAACTGTTTGAAAATTATGTTTGTATTAACACATGTTTAGGCACATGGATCAGCATATTTCATGCACTTGATGGTGATGAATTTCATTCCAACTTTATTTGAACTACCTCGGAAGTTGAACCTTACAATTTTCCCGAAATACTGCACTGCATGAAACAGAAATGGCCATACCTTATGACATGTATCTAGTAACTGACTTTTTGATATCTTGATGTAGTTTGACATCCTGGTCTAACTTCTCCATTAATTGTTCTAGTGTCTTGGCTGTGATGATGCATACAGATGATGTTCTTATGGGCAGGGCTTTTTCCTGGTTTAGGTTTGTAAAAACAACACATAAATCACTTTCATTCTATAAACAAAAGAACAATGATTATGGACTTAATACAAGTTTTAATATCATTGTATGGTGATGGATCATGAACGAAAGCCATACTGCACACTCTGGATGAGTAAATGTAAGAACATCCCTGTGCCTAATTAAGCAAACCATAAAGATGTGTGGGAACTGGAAGTATAGATTCTAAAGAGTTCTGACGGTGGTGGATGACACATGGAATTTCTGGGTTTTTTGGACTTTTTCCATCATCCTGAATTCTAGGTAATAGAAGACACAACGTTTCGGAAACTGGATCTGTTTCCGTCTTAGGGTGAGGAAGGAAGACACCTATTCAGTTGGGCCCCTTAGGAGTTAATCTCAATCACTGGACAACCCCTGTCAGATTTACGCAGCTATTTAATAACCTGAGGACAGAAACAGATCCAGTTTCTGAAACTCCATTTCTTCTATTACCTAGAATTCCAGATGATGGAAAAAGTCCAAAAACCCAGTAACTGGAAGTATAGTTCAACACATACTAGACATATTCATCAACACTGATGTGCCTTAAGACCCACACACATAACGCATACTTAACTTCAGCATTAGAGAGAGGTGAGTGGTCAGCTGCATACCCCACTCACTTTAGCCCTCAAAGAAGGAACCATTTGTACCCTTTGGATATGAAACTAGGGGGCCTGACAGTGAATTTGGACATTGTGGAGAACAGAAAAATCTCTTGCACTGCTGGGAGTTGAAACCCAATTCTTCAATCCACCCCCATAGTGATGGGGTTTAATTCTTGGTAAGTGCATTTACATTTTTCTTTACTCCACTTTCCATTAACCTGGTTTTCACCAAATCTCATAACCAACAGATACCCACAGTATCTTTACTAGTATTGTAGTTTGCCAGAGCATGATGTTCACTGATTATTGTATGTATACTGACAGACTTTGAGAATACACAGAGATTTACCTCCATGTTCCCTATACCCCACCCTGGCATGGTACTTGTAACATGTAATTTCCCACCATCTGGTATACCATGCTACTAAGGAAAGGGAATTTTTAAAGTAGATAAATTAATCTATTATTTTAGTGTTAGTCTGTAATCATTTTAGACTAAACAGGTTTCTTGTTCTTTACATACAGTATTTGAAATAAACACATAACATGGAAGCTATATAATTCTGTATGTTTTATCTCCACAACTACAGAACAGATATTTAAGTTTGTTATTGAGGTTTATGATACACACTGCCCAGCAAATCAAATCAAACTTCAGCAGAATTTTCAAAAGTGGCTGATGTACAACAAATCTATCAAACAACATATAAATATCTTCAAGATCTGTTCAAATCACTTTCTGATATGGCATGCATTTAACAAAACAAAATGGAAAATAATTCTTGCCTGTAGCAGTGTAACCTGCATACTGTTGCTTAGATTTGCCAGCAGTAGATTTTATAACTGCCCACAATGTAATGTCAGTAATTCTGATGAGCTGTATCAACAGGAACTGGATTCATCTGGTTCAGGAGGGGACTGATAACGGCCTCTTGTAAACACAGAAATGAACCTTCAGGTGCCATAAAATATAGAGCATATCTTGACTAGGTGAGTGTTATCTTCTCATAAAGAAGTCTTACTCCATGGAGTTTTTCTCTCAACAAACAGATTTATATCTTTAGGGAATGAACATCAAGCCCAACAAGGCATGCAAAATGGCAAAGATCATGAGAGGAAAATATATGTACTCCGAATCAGAATACACCTTTCCTCTCTTGCTGTTGTTGTAATATTTCTTACTATAAACTACAATTGCATGTATTGCTGAATTATTATAGAACTCCAGTTTATCAGGCTCTTATCACTGTCACTGAAAGCTTGCCAAGTGCTGAACTTGTTGAGATGCGAGTTCAAAAGGGTCACACCATAACCTTCTGTTGGATAAACAAGTGTGGAGATAATGAAAGAAAGAAGCGATACAGTAATCTGAGAGATATAATAATAATAATGATATAACAGGTCATTGTATTGCTGCCCTTGATTGTTATTATAAACAAATCAAAAGGAACCCACATTAGGTCACACTTATTTCCAAAGAAATTTCAGTTACTGAGTTTCAAATAGAGGGATAAGGTAAAGGTAAACTTTTTCCTGTGCTTAATCAATTAAGCCACGATGAAGACACATGGGGGAATGGAGATCATCTAAAGGAAAATGTGATGTAATTAACTATTCTTTTTTTTTCACTTGAACTGAATTACTTCTAACAATATGACAAGACACACACACGCAGAGGGTCCAAAAAAATGTATACGCACCATTGCACTGCCATTTACTTTGACTGTCCTGCCATTTGACAAGGTGGCTCTGGCATTCATGTGACTAGTACCACTTCTGAGAGAATATCACACTACACACCATAAATTACATTTCAGTTCAGCTTTGTGGATGTGTCCATAGATAACCTCTACTGAAATATGTATTCATTTATTTTAGGCCCCTCTGTATATGAGCCTTGGGTTCTTCTCTAAGAGCAGAGATTGAAAGTGTCTGAGATCACAGTGCTTAACAGAACATTTGGATGTACAGAAGTTGATACAAAAGACAGACAAGAAAAATTACACAATAAGATTTCATAGGTTATTTAGTAACAATTTTTCAGAAGATATTATTAATGAATGGTGTGTGAGTAGTGCTTCTAGGGGAGGTGATCATGAGCTACTTTAAGATACTATCCTAGCATTTACTTACAGGGACAGGGAAAACCACAGAAATTATCATTCACAATAAGCAGTTACCTGGCCAGATTCAAAGCACATACCTCCTGAATAATAGTCTAGAAATTTACCTCTACACCAACCTGCCTGATAGCAAATAATAAGCAATTTTATGATTTGTACTCTCCAACTAACACTGTTAGGCTGTCAGATAAGAAGCTTGACTGGGCATTTAGTGTAAGTACCCAAGACAGAAGGATAATATTAAAATTGAGAAATATAAGATATGAACGGTATTGAAGTAGCTCAGGAAACGACCCAATAATGACCTTTTGTGATGAAGGTAGTGAAATTTCAAGTCCCATAATGACAGGGAATTTCATTATCAGACCTTGTGCTATGTAGTTAATTCAACGCATAAACAAAATATCATTCATTGTACATGTTTCCAGCTGACACATACATAAGTTAATGAAGATGGGTGTGCTGCGTGTGGGCGTGCTGGGAGCAGGAGTTGTGGGAGTTTTAACAGCCAATGAACTGCAGGCAGAGTTCCCGACAGCAAGCATCACCATTATTGCTGATAAGTTCAACAAAGACACAACAAGTGAAGTTGCTGCTGGAATTTTCCGACCAAGCCCAAGTTTTGCTGGACCCACACCAGAAATTACAAGGTTATCAATAAGCACTAGTGTTCAAATTATGGCAACTCATGACCAAATGTCAATTGTTACTATCCCTTCTACTTTCCAAAAACACTAAAAATTAAAGAAACAATCATAATAACACTTTTACTGATTTTTGAAATTATTAAACTTGGTATCTTTATGTTGAGGTGAAAACATAAATGACAAGTGTCTAAAAAAAGTGCTAACAAAAATGTTTCGACCTAAGCGGTGTTTCTTTTTTCAGCCAGTACACATACTAGCAAATAACGGATACATACTAGTAAACTCATCTGAGGTCCATGCATGTGCCGGTTCCTTGTATGAGGCTAAATCCAAGCCTGATAGTACCACTAAACATTCTTCAAAGAAAATTCCGTGGACCTAAGAGAGATGAAATAAATATGAAATATGAGGATACTACACAACAAGGAACATCGCGTTTTCTACAGCTCAGCTAGAACTATTAAGATAATTAAATTAAGAGT